AGGAGACTGGTTTTCCTTTGCTAAAGTAAGGAAACTTTGCTTCCTTTGATCCTGTAAACAAACGTTGCTTTTCGCGAGACTCACCGGCGCATGCGCAACGCTGAACTCATACGTTATGCTCCCGGAGCTGCTTCTGTGTACAACTGCTGGCGCAAGCTACATTAAAGTGATTATTATGTTTTGAATATGGATATTTTTCTTACAAAAACGCATCGAGTCGCTACAGAAGGCCTTTGTTCACCCCCAGGAGCCCTGAGACACCTTTTTTAAAATTGATGTGCGCTTTTTATTTAACTTCTTTTGGACTGATGCATGCAACACCCGCTGAGTGGCATTAAACAGCTTGAAAGATCAAAGACCATTTTTAATATAACTCCGACTGGATTCGTCTGAAAGAAGAAAGTCATATACACCGAGGATGACTTGAGGGTGAGTAATTTATGGGCTAATTTTAATTTTTGGGTGAACTAACCCTTTAACTTATTTTTTTAAAATCTATTTAAATTGCACACAACATTAAGTTGATGTAATGATCAGCGTTATGATGTCAACAGAACTCATGAAAATAATAATTAATTTAGTCAATTAAATTAGTTTTTTTTTTAACTTTCAACCATGCATTTTTTTAAGCTGTGGTAAATGATCCCCTGAATTTCTTCTTAGAGCAAACAATTGAAGAAGTGCTGGAGATCTGATGTGTGAATATGTTTGGGTTTGTAGTTTAATTTCACAGCAGGTTCTTTCTTGTTTCTCAGTGTTCGTAGACTCTCTGTGGCTCTAACTGAACATGTGTCTGCCTCTAAAGAGCTTTTGTCTTAAGAATTGTTCATATAGTTTGTAGTTTTTCAGAGAGAGCAGAAGAGCAGCTGATCGTCTGTCACATCTTAAAACAGAGAAATAAAAGAAAGCGTGTTCTTGACAGGCCCGTCGAGCTTTTCAGCGCTCTGCATATACGTCAAAAAGCCCAGGCCTGTCCTCGCCTCTGTCCCGTCGTATTGGCAAGCTGTCGCATTAGGAGCTGCTTCGTGATGAAGGCTGTCTGTAGATCTGCAGAAGTGTCTCTGATGGCGTTTCTCATCTGAATGGCTGATGCTTCACCTGCAGGTGTTTCTAACAGTGCAGCTGAGTGTCCGTCTGTGGCTGATTCTCACCGAAACACAGGGAAAACAATGCTTTGCATGCTGTTATTGAACATTAAGCACAGTAAATTCACATTTTCACACAATCCTGGAGCGAGACGAAGGTAAATATGTGACCCTGGAGCACAAAACCAGTCATAAGGGTCAATTTTTTGAAATTGAGATGTATATATCATCTGAAAGATGAATAAATAATCCTTCCATTGCTGTATGGTTTGTTAGGATAGGACAATATTTGAAAATCTGGAATCTGAGGGTGCAAAAAAATCAAAATATTGAGAAAATCATCTTTAAAGTTGTTCAAATGAAGTTCTTAGCAATGCATATTACTAATCGAAAATTAAGTTTTGATATATTTACAGTAGGAATTTTACAAAATATCTTCATGGAACATGATCTTTACTTAATATCCTAATGATTTTTGGCATAAAAGAAAAATGTATAATTTTGACCCATACAATGTATTGTTGGCTATTGCTACAAATATACCCCAGCGACTTAACACTGCTTTTGTGCTGCAGGCTCACATATATTATAATGGATGGCTTGAGCATGCCAAAAATGTCTTTACTGATGTAGGCTACTTTTTGTTTTCATTGGTGTTTCAGATTATTGTGATATAGTCATTTTTCTGTAATGTTCTGCAGTCAAATCACTGTATTAAAAAGTTTTCACATTTAAATTCGCATAAAGGCAGTAAAACAAATCCTACCATTATTGATGTATTAATACTTTGAAACGTAACTAATACTCTTTTCACATCATAGTAATGAGAGTGAGACATTTTTGCATTGCAGTAATGATAATTTGGGGGGAATATTAAAATGACCAAAAATGGTCAAAAAATAGACTACGTTTGCTAAATTATGGGTAACACTTTACAATAAGGTAAACATTAGTTAACTACTTTATGAACTAAGCATGAACAACACTTCTGCAGCATTTATTAATCTTAGCTAATTTTAATTTCACCATTTACTAATGCATTATTCAAATCAAAAGTTGTGCTTGTTAACATTAGTTAATGAACTGTGAATTAACATGAACTAACAATGAACAACTGTATTTTCATAAACCAAGCTTAATAAATACTGTAATAAATGCATTGCTCATTGTTCATTCATGTTAGTTAATATATAAACTAAAATTAACTAATGGAACCTTATCGTAAAGTGTTACGAAAATATGTTTCAAAATATATTTTCTTCCCATATATATTTTGGGCCATTTTTATATTTTAAAAATACAATACATTTTTAAAGCATGTAACAAACATGTAACACATTTGAATACAAAATATGCAAGGAACATACTTTACAATGTAAGAATAATTACAATATTACAATGTAAGTACATATATAAGTAAAAAAGTAAACGTTATTAAATTGTTAGTTTCTCTATCTCTAGTAAGCTATCCATGTAAGACTGAAAATGTGTTTTCTTGCCCTTGAGATATATTTTGGTATATGAAGGTTGAAAATATATTTTCAATTTCAAAAATATGTCATTGAGGTTCACTGTTTACAACACACATTTAGCATATAATCAAAATATATTTCGGCTAGAAAAAAAAAGTTACTGTTGTAGGGCCACGAAATAATTGTGATTGTTACACAAAGAAATATTCATGCACATGCACAACAGATATGATTTTAGCTCT